CAGCAAGAAAAAAGTACATTGCCAATTTCGAGAAAGTACATGAAATGGTTATCCAGAATCATAAATAAATGTTGTGGGAATAAAAAAGATGGTAACTTTAGCCTTTTTCCAACCGGAAGAATTCACTTACAAGTTACCACCCAATAGAAAAAAAAGTATGTAAGTTAATGTTCGCATAGACAACCTCATTTAATTATATGAATGGACAGAGAAATGGTGAGATCTCGTCCAGCACAAATCTTAAGCAAGCTATCATCCCACATTCTATAAGTCAAAAAGCTCTACATATAACCCACTAGATAAATTCATGACAATCGAGTAAATCCTATAGGTTCAAAATCTCAGCCTGTAACAACTCCCAAATGTTCTCTAGTGCATAATCTAGTGGTTTTTCACATAATAAAGATTCACAGCAAATTTGTCCCCTAGAAAACTTCCCAACCATAGCCTATTATTACACGGCCTCTAAAAGAACAAAAGACAAATGATAAAAGGTTTGATCTTTCCATTGCCATGTTCAACAAAATATCACCTTGATTTTCATTTTTAACACAGTTAACAGCTTGATCATGAACCCATCTACTAGCAAGCATGACTCTTTTTCCTTTCCTCTCACAGCAATAAATCCATATAAATTTACAATAAGTGCCAGATGAGATAAAGTAATATAAATTCAACAATTGACAAACACAAAACTAGCATCCCCCTATCATCAGAAAAGCAACAGATAACTCCGCTAAACAAACAATCCTCGGCATCATGATCAGACAGAAACAAAAAATAAATATATAAAAATTCTATCTTTCACCCACCCAAAACAAGAAAATAAACATCCATCCATCTCAACCTTAAAAACCCAGAAAACTCAAACCTTTTCCTAATCTACCAAACCCTCGAAAAACCATTTACGTTGTTCTTGTACGGATGCAGTATGACTTTGTCCAGACACGAACAGGGTCGGTTGATTTTTCGCATTACTAACCTATTGAGTATTGATTGAAAGCAAAGAAACCCAGATTCCTTCGGGTCATGAAAAGTTTCCCCCTTTTTTGCGGTAGATGATAAAATCCAAAACGGTAAAAACGACGCCGTTGGTTGACCCAAGCAAAGCAAAGGGGGCAGTTTTTGAAATGGGAAAGCGAAAAGGTTAGGCCGCGAAAAGCTGGTGATTTGCAGCCGTCGAGGTTTAGGGGTCGGCCTCAACTCCCAATGAGGTCGGGACACGTGTCGGACGTGGCCGTGTGAGCGTAAGTGTAGTCGGTTGAATTTTTTTGGTATTTATTAAATAAATCTATTGGAGGAATTAATGATATTTATGTATTATGTGAGAGAAAAATAATGAGTGTTTGATTGATGATAATATATAAATACGATGGTTAATTAGTTGTGAAATTTATATAAAATTTTGTAATAATAATTATTTTTTAATTTAAACAGATACTCACATATGTAATTTCGAACGTGATAAATGAGTACTTCTCGAACGTGTTAAGTGACACACTCGCACCTCATATGTAATAAATTTTAACTTCATTATCTTGTTTCTATCGATTTTCATTAACTTTCAATCTAAAAATAATTAAAACTTTAATTATTTACAAATATATTAAATATTTATGACAACTATTACGACCATTAATTGTGTTTTAATAATATATTCTATTTTAGACGTGGCTTCTAAATTATGAAACCTTCTTTCCAATCTGTTACAACCTGGGTGTAACCAATTTTAGATCTGATTGTATTTTTGTTGTTTTTCTTATTAGAATTAAGATGAAGAGGATGAAATTAGCAGAGAATGATGTAGACAGGAATTGAGAGAGAGAGAAGAGACAATGAGGGAGAGAGTAACTGAAATATTTGTTTCCTCACTTTTCATACGGTTTGTTAGACACTTATACTACTAGCTTGGTCCCACAAATGGATAACTGGGCCAAGTAAATACATCAATAGCCCAACAATACTAGTGAGCTAATTTCTTAATAACATAATAATAAAATAAACCGGCCCAACATAACTAAACCCATTATCCCTTAGTCAACCCTTCATCTTCCTTTTTGTCAGCATCCTCTACGATCTCACTGGAAACCCAAATCCCCTTCTCCTCGCCATTCTGCAAGAACCATTTTTATCAGAAAGTCCTCTTTTTTCTTCTTTCTTTTTGTTCTTCGAGCTTGTGTCCATGACAATACCCCCTTCAATTTAAGATCCTTGCCCACAAGGATCGGAAATTTGGACACCTAGTTCGATGAAAGACTCGGGCTTTGCGGTGATAATCTCTGTCGCCGGAAGATCTTTCAACTCCAACAACCGGGTAACTTCTTTTCCATCCCTAAGAACCATTTTGTTTGCATTTTGCACCAAGGGTATGATCTCTTCATCAACGTCGTCTGGTATTTCAGGAATTTTGGAGGAAACTCCGGCCGTAGGTGGAACACGACGCTTCAACAGGGAAACATGAAAGACTGGGTGAACGCGTGCTCCATCAGGTAACTCCAATCGGTAAGCAACTTCGCCTATCTTTTCAAGTATAGTGAATGGGCCATAATACCTTGCTGAGAGTTTGACATTTGTCCTGAGAGCCACTGAATTTTGCCTGAAAGGTTTGAGTTTTAGGAACACATGTTCACCTATGTGAAATTGTTTCTCTTCTCTCTTCTTGTCTGCAAACAGTTTCATCCTTGTCTGTGCTTGAATGAGGTTTTCTCTGAGTTGATGGGTCATTGCTTGTCTTTTTTGTATGAGGTCTTGGGCTTCTGTACTCATAGTGTCCAAATAGGGTCTCATTGAGAAATTAGGAGGTGTGTAGCTATAAAGTGCCTGGAAAGGAGTGGTCTTGAGGCTGGTATGATGATTGGTGTTGTACCAATATTCAGCCAAAGATAGCCACTTAATCCACTGTCTAGGGTTTGAGTAGACCATACTCCTCAGATAATTTTCGAGGCATTGGTTGAGTCTTTCTGATTGCCCATCTGTCTGTGGATGGTAAGCAGAAGAGAGAGACAATTTGACCCCTAGCAATTTGAACAATTCCTTCCAAAAAGTGCTAGTGAATATTTTGTCCCTGTCTGACACTATGGTAACTGGTAGACCATGCAGTTTGTAGATGGTGTCTAAGAAGATTTTTGCAATTGTAGAAGCAGTGAATGGGTGTGTTAAGGGTGTAAAATGGGCATATTTGGTGAACCTGTCAATAATCACCAGTATTACATCCTTCCCCCCAGATTTAGGAAGTCCCTCAATGAAATCCATGGCAATGTGAGTCCATGCCTGGTTTGGAATTGACAAGGGTTGTAGCAACCCTGAGTAAGGGTTGGTGTCAGCTTTACTGATTTTGCACACATCACAGCTCTGCACCAACTTAGTGACATCTGCTTTCATGTTAGGCCAGTAGAAAACCCCTTTTCAGTCTCATATAGGTACCAAAAATGCCAGAGTGTCCACCATATGAAGAGCTGTGCATAGTGGAGAGTATGGTGTCCCTAAGATCCTTTCTATTTCCAATGCCAAGTCTGCCTTTGTATCTGATGATCCCACTCTGAATAGTAAAATTAGGATAAGAATCCTTTTTAATAGTGTTGGCTGTTAGGATTTTTGAGAAAAAAGGGTCTTGTTTGTAGCTCTCTTGCACCTCTTGTACCCACAATGGAACAAGATTGGAAACAGCCATACACACTGGATTTTCCTCCCCTCTCCTTGATAAAGCATCTGCAGCCTTGTTCTCTGTCCCTTTTTTGTACATAATTTCATAGTCCAGGCCCAGAAGCTTAGTTATCCATTTTTGTTGGACAGGGGATACCACCTTCTGATCTAACAGGTACTTGAGTGCCTGTTAGTCAGTTTTAATGAAAAATTTGTGCCCCTGTAAATAATACCTCCACCTCTGAACTGCCATGAGAACAGCCAAAAACTCCCTTTCATAGACTGAGAGAGCTTGATTTTTAGGGCACAACATCTTACTCATGTATGCAATTGGTTTTCCTTGCTGCATGAGTACAGCCCCTACCCCTTTTCCACTGGCATCTGTTTCTAACACAAAAGGCTGAGTGTAATCAGGTAGGGCCAGTACAGGTGCCTTTACCATTGCATCCTTTAGTCTTTGAAAAGCTATTTCAGGTTCTTCTCCCCACTTAAACTGGTCTTTCTTTAGTAGATCAGTCAGTGGCCTACTAATCATCTCATATCCCTTGATGAATTTTCTGTAATAGCTTGTGAGTCCCAGAAAACCTCTTAGCTGCTTAAGATTGGTAGGGGTTGGCCACTTCACCATGCCTTCAATCTTTTGTGGGTCAGTTGAAACCCCTTGAGAGGATATGATATGGCCCAAGTACTCAATCTGAGTCTGCCCAAAATGACATTTGCTTTTCTTAGCATAGAGTTGGTGTTGTTTGAGTATAGTTAACACCTCTTCTAGATGCTGTAAATGCTCTTTCCATCCCTTGCTATAGATAAGTATATCATCAAAAAAGACTAGCACAGTCTTTCTTAATAAATGCCTGAAAATCCTATTCATCAATGACTGAAAGGTGGCTGGGGCATTGCATAGCCCAAAAGGCATGACCAAAAATTCATAATGGCCACTGTGGGTTATGAAGGCAGTTAGATGCCTATGCTCCTGATTCATCAAAATTTGAAAATAACATGACCTCAGGTCAATCTTAGAAAAGTAAGTGGCACCTTGTAGTTCATCCAAGAGTTCATCTATGACTGGAATTGGATAGTCATGTTTCACAGTCAACCCATTAAGGTATCTATAGTCCACACACAATCTCCATGTAGCATCCTTTTTCTTCACTAAAATCACTGGTGAAGCAAATGGACTTCTACTGTCCTGTATAATCCCAGATTCCAACATTTCATTAACTATCTTTTCTATCTCTCCTTTTTGATTGTGAGAAGTCCTGTAAGGGAAAATGTTTAGGTGAGCTGTCAGGTTTGAGGGTAATTTGATGTTCAATACCTCTATTAGGTGGTAAACCCTTGGGTTCTTGAAAAACATCCTCATATTTCTGCAAAATAACCTCAAGTTCACCTTTCTCACTAAGCTGATCAGGTTTTGTAACAGATACCCAAAATACTTCTTCAATGGTTTCCCCACTTTCTTCATGCATGAGTTTATACAGAGAAGGGTCTGAGATGAATTTGCAAATAGCTTCTGATCTCAGGGCCTGGACCTTCACTCTCTTCCCATGTAGTGTGACTGTGAAACTCATCTTTTCATAGTCTAGCTCAATGGGGGTGCAACTTTTTAGCCAGTCACCTCCCAGAATCACATCACACCCAACATTATCCAACACCCTTAAGGAATAACTGAAGGTCTGCCCTTGCATAATCCACTGAAACCCCTCAACAATGAATGAACTAATCATGTTCTGTCCATTGGCCACTTTAACCCTCAAAGGTTTAGCTGATGATAGATTAAGCCCCAATGATTTAGCTGTACTAGCTTGAATGAAGCTGAGAGTACTACCTGAATCGATGAGTATGTGGAGTTTGTGCCCATTGGTATTACCAAACACCCTCATAGTGGTTAGTCCATCCTCACCTGATATAGAATTTAGTGACATTTGCACTTCTTCAATGGGTTCTGAGTGGTCTGCCTCACCTTCCATGAGTGATGAGGAATTTAGGTAGTTGATTTCCTCCTCTTCTGTCATGGTCATATAATTCAGTCTATGCTTACACTTGTGCCCATATGTGAACTGCTCATCACAATTATAGCATAGGCCCTTTTCCCTTCTTGCTGCCATTTCTGAAGCTGTGAGAAGTTTGACAGGGTTTTTGAAGTTAGGGGTGAACTTGCTGGGATTGGGATTGAGAGACTCCAACCTTTTTGGTGGTTGGTAAGTGTTTGGGAATGTTTTGGTGGGGTGTTTGAGCTTTTTTGAGATAGCTTCTAGGGTAATGAGTTGTTTCTTTCCAAGTTCTATGGTTTGTTGTAATGTTTGTGGTTCAAACATGTTTATAAATGACTGCAACTCTTCAGACAGACCACTGATAAAACTAGCTATGAAATAATCTTCTGTGTAACCCTGGTTCATGCATAGCATACAAGCCCTTAACTCTTCAAACTTCTCTACATAATCCAAGTAAGAACCTGTGTGCCATAATTTGTTGAATTCCTCTATGATCTTGGACGCTTTCAGCTCCTTAAATCTTGCTGAAATGATTTCAATAAATTGTGCCCAAGTAATGTCAACACACCTGCTATTAAAACTTTGAAACCACTGAGCTGCCTTGCCCTCAAAG